TCTTCTGTCCTTTGCTGGTTCTGAGCATTCCTTGGCTTGTGGCCATATCACTCCCGTCTCTTCCCCCATGGTCAGATTGCCTCTTCCTCTTCTCTCTGTGTGTCTCTCCTCTATGTGACTTTCATAAGGATGCTTGTCTTTGGATTTAGAACCCACTCAAATAATCCAGGGTGGTCTCTTTATCTCAAAATCCTTAACTTAATGACATCAACAAAGACCTTTTTCCCAAATGAGTCCACATTCATAGGTTCAGAGAATTAGGAAGTGGACAAAGCTTTGGGGGGTCACCGTTCAATCCATTACACCAAGAAAGAGTATTAGTCCCTTTTGAAAGCGTCAGGCTTCTTGCAACAAAATGAAAAGTTGTGGTTTATTAGCCTAACTTCCCATAAGTTCAAAATAATTTAGTACTAAGTATGGAAAAATTGAAAATAAGAGCAATCTACTGCCCTGATGTTCAGGGATTCCATAAATCATTCTTTGGCCAACTGCAGTTCGATTCCTAGAGCACAAAATATCTTCATTTTTAGTTATGCATTCTTTGTTATACATGTCCCAGATAATTGCCGTGAACAAGTGACACAGCAGCAGTCATACTGGATTTTTTCTAACAACAGCAACAACAATAACAACAAAACTTTAAGTATGTTTTCTGAGGTACAAATCTTGATTAAAAGTAATGATGTATAAAAAACCCCAGTAGTGGAAATTCTAAAGCCACTAATAACAATTTAAAGATTCATTAATATATATTTCTTATACTGTTGTGATAAAGTGAGTTCATTTATTGGGCCACAAAATGGAGGGTGAGCCCACAGCCCAGCCTACATCACAGATCAAAACCTCAGTCGTTTACTGGAAACACCCACAAGGAACCCTGACATTCACCAATCACAACCCTCCAACTCAGCCTTAGCTAGCTTACCTTACCCTAATTTCTCCTCAGACTGTTTAGCTGTTGTGATATTGTAATTTATAAGAAATATATATACTTGGTCATTCAGATGACCAAAATATGTTCCTCGTTTTACTTGGTCTTCATCCACAGTTGTCGCTTTCAGCTCCCCAAACCTTTGGAATTTCCTTAGCAATAAGAGCAATACTCTTTTGTTATAATATTTGGTCTCGTTCTCAGTTTCTGAAAACGCTTCAGAGCATAAAGGTGAAATAAGTCTCGTTATTATTCATAACAAGCCCCTTTTCACCACTTCTGGGTTATGTTTGTGAGGTGATTTTTGGAAAGCACTTAAGAATGGGGGCTGGCTGCCAGGAATAGAGGGGTGGAACTTTCAGTCCCACCTCCTGATTTCTGGGTACGGGAGAGAGGCTAGAGGTTGTATGAATCACCAATGGTCAATGAGTTAATCAATCACGCCTATTAATGAAACCTCCATAAAAACCCAAAAGGAGGAGGTTTGGAGAGCTTCCAGCTTAGGGAACCAGAACATTTTTCATGTTCTACCTTACCCAGCCCCAAACTCCATGAGGACAGAAGCCCCTTTGTTTGGGAACTTGCCCTATATGTCTCCTCATTTGGCTGTTGATTCAAATCCTTTAATATCCATTGTAATAAATGGGTAATGTAGGGAGTAAATTTCCTGAGGTCTATGAGCCGTTCTAGCAAATTAATCAAACCCAAGGAGGAGGTCATGGAAACCCCCTGATTTATAGCCAGTGGGCCAGAAGGACAGGTAACAACCTAGGCTTGCCATTGGCATCTAAAATAGAAGGTGGTCTTATGGGACTGAGTTCTTTACCTGTAGAATCTAGTGCTATTCCCAGGTTCCAGAATTGAGTTGAACTCTTGGACACCTACTGGTGTCTGAGAATTGCTTGTTGGTGCAGGGAACGCCCGCACCTCCACAACTCACATGCACTTTGGAACTGGGTCCAGGAGCACAGAAAAGCTGTTTCTTACCGTCTCCCACCCCACTTCCGCCCCAGCCTGCTCACCCTTTCCACTCTCCTGCTCATGCCCTGGGAATGAGTGTTCCCTGAGGTATTTGGGTGAAACCAATCTAGGGAGACCAATCCAGCAGAACTGCCCCACTTGTATCTATATTCTCTACGACGGAGCTAACAATCCTGCTTTGTTTTTAGGTAACATACGCATTGAGTATTTACACAGGCCCGGCTCTCTGTAAATATTTTAGGTACAGAGCCTGACTTAATTCTTCCAGTGGCCCTGCAGAGATCAACAAACCTTCCCTTTAACTAATGAGGGCAGTAAGACTCCGAGACAGCTACTTTCAAGAACACACTGGCGGAGCCAGATGGGAATTCAGTCTGCTTGACTCAGAAGTTTGTGCATGTCAACAATTCACTGTATGATGGTAGCTGTCCAAATTTAAATACGTAAAATAATTTTTATGATTTTCATAAAAAATGTTAGAGACCTGCTAACACAGAAACTTTTTTTCTAGCATGTAAATCTTTATGGGAATTGAAGAGCTTTCAATACACCTCAATTAAATTATTTGTGTGATTTGGACAATTTAAAAGTTGCTACTTCAACTTTTGGGATTAAGGGTTTCAAAGGCAATTTTATTCTTATCATTTCATCTCACAATACTTTTCCATTCTTTCTCTCTAGCAAGAATTATGTAGAGACCTGATTAAAGTTTTATCTTAAAGATCGTAAATGTTTTTTTGCACTCTTAAAAGTTTCGAAGGCAATTTCTGTGAAGAATTAAAACTGGAAAACTTTGTATTTTATTGTGAGTTAGTTATGAAATAATTTCTGAAGGGAGAAGTACAATTTTTATATTAGTTCTAAGGACATTTGTGAATGTAGTGCCAATCCTACAGGGTGCCAGTGGGGAAGTTTTCTGCTAAACTCACTGCTTTAACTAGTGATTTTTAAAATCCCACCCATTAGGATCATAGGCCTTTAGTGTTTTTACATTATTGGCTACCTTATAGTTACCATTATTGAGAGACTCCTATGAGTCAGACACTGGCCAAATCCTTTACTTACATTATCTCATTTAATCCTCCCCACACTCAGAAGTAACTGTCACGACCATCAGACAGGCTCGAGAAACTGAGACTCATTCATATAGATCACATTGATTATTTGCTGTATTTTACCTTTTCACCTTGCATTTGTGGCCTCATTTAATACTCGTAACAATTCTGTGATGTAAGTATAATTTTACATCTGTCTTACAGGTGAGGACATTGAGGCTCAAAGAGTCTATGTTACTTGCCCACAATCATAAAGCTGGTGAATCGCGAAGCCAAGATTCTTCAGGCCCTTGCTCTTAATCTCTGGCTATACTGTCTCCCGGAAAGGGAGGGAGGGAGGATGACAGCCAATGCCTGATGCAAAGTGTGACTCTTTCACTTAGAGAAGATGAGGTAAGTCATGATAGCTATCTTCAAATTGTTCAGACATTGTCACAGGAAAAGGAAGTTGATCTCTTCAGGGTGGCCCCAAGAGGGCCGAGCTGGTGCCCCTGGGTCCCCACCTCTCTCTCACTGAAGGAAGAATTCTAACAGAACAGCTATCAAGGGGTCATTTCAGCAAGAAGAGGACTCCTTTTCCCTGGCACTTGGTTCTCCAATTTTGACCTGTTCACTGATCACCCATAGAGCTTGTTTTTACAAAGCAGACACGCAAGAACCCTCTGCCAGGGACTCTCAGTAAGTGTGAAGCAGAGCCCTGGAAGCTGCGCGTATAAGCAAATGCTCCTGGGTGAACCTGAGGCAGGTGGTCTAGGGCCACACAGGGAAATACCAAATAGGCAACAACTGGCAACCCCAGGGTTAATAAGGGGATTCCTTCATTACAGGGGAGGTTGGACTGGATGGTCCCTCTGTTACCTCCAGAGTGTCTGAAAGCAGAACTGTAAAATAAACTCTTGAGCTGCGAGGAATGTGATGGGATTGACTCTGGAAACTTCTGTGAGCTGACTGTTCCATGTGAAAGAAGAGCTGTATCACCATCTGGTGCACTGCCTGAAAGTCTTCACGTTCAGTCACCTAGAACCTTGGAAGGATTTTCTCATTGAATTCTGATACCCTCTGCCTTACAGACCAGGAATCCGACTCAGAAAGACTGGGCAGCACACACAGCCTTGGCCACACACCCAGCAGTTCCCAGTCTACTGATTCTTATTGGATTCACATCAGCACCATGAATGCCTCACACCTGGCAGTATCTCTCTCAATCCAACTAGATTCCAAACTCAGCTTCCAATGCACGCATCCAATTAGCAAAATCTAAATCACACGTGAATCTCTGGCGAAAGTTTAGTTAGGAAAATGGGAGTTTTTCACATTCAGTATAGTTTTTCACTTTCTAGCCTCTGCCACCCAGGAAGGCATATTAGGAAAAAAAAAAAAAATTGGAATAGATGCTGAGCAAACCAATCAGAATCTTGTCACATATATCTATCCCCCCTTGACCATTTTCTCCGAAACCTTCCTCTCTTACCTCTATACTACATTCTATTCCTGGAAAGAGTTGTCTGTTCCCGCTGTCTCCAATTCCTAACCCCCCATCCTTCCTTTGCTCACAGAGTACGACTGCATCCCTCTCATAATCAGTTCACATCACATGACCTTTTCCGTCTCCTTGCTTTGTCATTCCCCCCCTCTTCCCCTTCCACTCCTCTTTAGCATTCTACCAGTTCTGCATTAGTACCTCACTCCTCCCAGTCTAATTATGCAGATAATCCCCCCAAACATAATCCCAGCTATAAAATCTTTCCCAGGTTTCCAACTGCATCCTGAAAGTACCCACCTGAATAGCACAAGCACCTCAAACTCAACATGTTAAACCCGATACTAAAGTCATCTCACTTCCAAAATCTGTTCTCCCTCCTGCATTCTATGTCTGTGTAAACTGCACAACTATTCACCCACTTACTGAAGTTGATTTGATTGTCCTCTTTCCCTTTCTATTCCTATATTCAATCTGTCCCTAAGACCATAAATTCAGTGGAATCCTCTTACTGAGTTTAATAGGTGCTCTTTAAAGAAAGACTTCAGACATGCTCACTCTAGCACTTTATTGGAAATTAGTTAGGTACATCAATGAAATCAGATCAACCTAAAAGCATCATTTTCACACAATAATATCCCGATAATCTGTGCTATCTTCTTACATAATTTAACAAATCCCCAGATGCTCCTTATTTCGGTCAAAGAGCTTGAGTGGTCCAGAAATCTCTCTATACATATAAATATAAATTGTAGCGTTTAAAATAAACATCATTGTTTGAGTTAGTTCCAAAGGTGCTGGGAACATCTCGTACCTTGGAATGGTTGCAGTGCTGGTGGGAGGGGATGAAGGGAGTACACATTATGCGGTGGACCTAATTACAGCAGGGGCTGGGGCGGAGGGGCACACAGGGGACGGGGCGGGTGCTGGGTATCCTGAAAGCTGGCCAGGGAACTCAGCCACCCTGCATCTGCCAACACTGCTTGAGCGTCAAAGCTATAGGACGCTAATGCAGAATGAAGCCCATCACCCCAGCTCCCTTGGCATTGCCAAGAAATGTCAGAGCCCCTCCAAACTGCAGATTCCGGTGTCCTGGGAAGATCCACCCATCTCCCTCCCCCTGCCATGCTCAATTCCCTCCCAAATTAGACAACTCAAGGGAGTGGCACCTCAAAGGAAAGAACGTTGAGCCACATGCTGTTGGTCCCTTGGAATGATGACGGGGTGCCTTTGCTTGCCTTCATCTTAGGGGCACTGGGGAAGACTGCTCTGCCCCAGTGTCTCCCTCACCCCTCATCAGCAGCTAGGGTCTTTGGTTCTTCAAAGCTTCTCAGCATTCAGCAGTAACACCTGTGTATCTACTCACCAACAGCTTTAACCTCCACTAGGTCATTGGTTCTCACAACCCCATGAGGTAGGACGGGCAGGAATCATGATCCCCATTTGGAAAATAAGGAGCCTGGAACTCATAGAATTAGGTCCCTTGACCAAACTCACACCACTGGCCAGTGGCAGAATCAAAACCAGAACTCAGGTCTCCTCACATATCGAGCTCCAGTGTCCATGCTCCAAAGTCCCTCCTGCAGCTCTTCTGAGAAAGGGAAAGAAGCTGGGGGCAGGGACGCTGTCCTCATCCATCACCTGCCCCTCTTGGGAGGTTCTCAGACGGCCCCATTGAGGACAGGATGAGTCCGCATGCGATAGATGATGACCGCAGTGGCCGGGCACAGCAACAAGGAGGTCATGATGACAATGGTGGCCAGGATGATGAGGACAATGACCCAGATGTCCAGGATGTGCTTGGGGAGCACGACTTCCATGGGGACCTGGCTGATGGCATCCATGCTGCTTCACTCTGCAACAGGCAGGAAAGAGGAATTCACCATTTTGTACCCCAGGAGTCAGAAGGTAGGTCACTTACCAGCTGCTGTGTACTCAGTTAATGTTGCCTGATCAATAATAGTAACGGCCTCATTTACTGTGGGCTTCCTATGTGCCAGGCCCTATCCTAAGCACTTTACGTGTATTAACTCAGTCCTCACTTCAACCACCAACCCTTTGCGGTAGGGACTATTATTGTCATGCTTTTTTATTTTTTGGCCTTTATCTTCAGTTATTTCCATTTTGGAGATGAAGACTCTAAAGCCTTAAAAGATGTAGCTGTAGTTAATTTCCCCAAGGAAGCAAAGCCAGGTGGGTGGGACTCCAGAGTCTTCATGTTTAACTGTTAAACTATCATACCACCAGTCTGCTCCCTCATCTGTAAAATGGGAAATTTATTGTTTTTGGTCTCGCACCCCTTCTCCCTTTCTCCTGGTAACAGGTCCTCCTCTTTTCTGAAGAACCTACCCTTTCTGTGTGGTTTAGTTAGGGCACACACCTGAGCACAGGGAAGCACATGTGACCTAGGCTTGGCCATTACAACTCTCCATGGCCTCAATTCAGGAATAGGCAAGTGATCCAGGCTAGGTCAACCAAAGTCCTCCCAGGGATTTTATTCACAAAGTATTGGGAAAGATGATTCTTTCTGCTGGGATTGCTAAACTGAAAGGATATGAGTCTGGAAAGGATGGGCGTGGGGCTGTCTTGCCCACATGTGACAGCATGTCCTAGAGATGGAAAGAGAAGTGGAGTCCTGACAACCTCATTTGAGTACCTGAACCCAGCCAGTCTGACATCATCTGCAACCTCGGACGGCCCAGATATATAAGCGAATAATCCTCTAGTTTTGCTAAAGCCAGTGTCAGTTTGGTTTCTCTCACTTGCAGTTAAAAGAGTTCTGATGGATCAAGATGTAAATCAGCTGTTCCCAAACTTTTTCGATTCACAGCACCTTCAGTAATTTTCTCACAGCACTCTAGGCCAAAAGATATACCTCGCAGTTCCATTTATTACGTAGTTAGGTTCAATTTAATAAACATTTATGTCCTAACAAATGAGTAGCTGTTTGAAAATATAATACACAGAAGTTGAAAGAAAAAATTTGTATTTCACTCTTAGCCAGTTACTTACGGCATGTGTGCGACTGTGAGGCATTGCACAACTTTTCAAACTTTGGAGTCAGATGGGACGATGCCGTGCTCACTTCCTATTCCACATTCATTTGTGTGCTGTGCTTGCAGTATCATGGCAACTGTTAAAAACTCAGCATCGGGCTTCCCTGGTGGCGCAGTGGTTGAGAGTCCGCCTGCCGATGCAGGGGACATGGGTTCGTGCCCCGGTCTGGGAAGATCCCACATGCCGCGGAGCGGCTAGGCCCGTGAGCCATGGCCGCTAAGCCTGTGCCTCCAGAGCCTGTGCTCCACAACGGGAGAGGCCACAACAGTGAGAGGCCCGCATACCAAAAAAAAAACAAAAACAAAACAAAACAAAAAAAAACTCAGCATCACAAAATATAGCATCACCAAAAGGAATGTAGGATGATTAATGTTAGACTGTAAATTATCTTGAACTAGTAGTTTGCACAACGTCTGAGAGTTGTCAAATATCAATATTCCTGTCAAAAATTTTAAAGATCCCACAGCTCCCAGACACACACTTTTCCAATGAGTTCACTGCGGCTCCCCAGGGCTCAGCGCACAACCCGGGAACCACAGGTGCAACGTGTTCCCTGCCCAGAAGTCACAAGGCCGGAATAAACAATCTCCTACAGTTCCTTCTAGCTCAAAGATTTATAATTCTGTGATTCAAGGTCCCAGGCAAAATTCCCAATTCCAGTCCTATTTCCTGCTTTTACGTAAATCAATAGCTTTTCCTTTTTAATGCCTTTGGCTCCATGCCCACTGTGGCCTCATTAAGTAATTTTACTGATTACCATACCCAAGGTACAGTCTCCAAGATATGCATACATACTAGGGTGTTTGTTTCTGCTCTGTCTGCTATAGCAACTAACACAACAGGAGTACCCATAAATAGTAGAGTATATCCATATAATGGAACACCAGACAGCAATTTTCATTCATTTATTTAACAAATATACAGTGCTTGCTACACACCATGCACGGTTCCAAGTGTGTTACAAATATTAACTTATTTAATAGTTATTATCAAAAAGAATGATGATCTGTAGTGAGCTCCAAAATAGTCCTAAGTGGGGAAAAAAATAAAGTGCAGGATAATGTGTATAGGATAACTCCTTTGGTTCAGATTTTGTAGAATTAAGTAGATAGATAGGTGAGGATATATTAAAGTAAAATCATTTATAAGCAGAATCCGAAGAAAATGTTAATAGTGATTACCTTTGGGAGTTGGACTAGGAGTGGGAAAAGTTCCTGCTTTTCATTCTTCATTTTTTTTATACTGTTGAGTTTTATAAACATGAGCATGTCTTACTTTTAATGTTTTTCAAGTCAACCGGTTGATGGAAAAATGGGCTTTTTTGTTTTTGTTTTTTCTTTATTAAAAAAGACTAAATACACACACATACAATTTTCAAGCCAAATAAAATTAAAGTATGAGACTAGATTAGTGGTCACCAAATGCCATATACCGTGCTAAGTGAGAACCACCTATGGACAGTTTAAAAAACGTTGCTTCGAGGTCCCATCACAGACTTACTGAATTAGACTCCAGAGGGGCCTCCCCCACTCCCATTTCCCAGGTGATTTGAATGTGCAGCCAGCTTTGGGAATCCCTGATCTCTAAGGCCTCTACCACTCTTCCTAGCTCCATGATTTGGGAACTGATTCCTCCGTGCTCTGTAGCCAGTCTAAGTCAGATGCGGGCACATTCTAGGATGGAGGAGAAGCCTCTAGCGAGGCTCTCAGGGCCACAGGATTATAAGGCAGGGGGCCTGCCCCGGAGGAAGAGGCACAGGCTGGCCCTGCCTCAGCCTCAGAAACATGGTCACTTTCTCCAAGGTCTAAGGCGCAGAAGCGTGAGTCACAGGAGACGCACACTGTTAAAGAGGGACAGGGGTGGGGGAAATCATTCGTTGTGGTCTCCTGATTACATCAATAGCTAGCTTGCCTTGGGCCAAAAGAACCACACAAAAGCCCTTTCCGGTAAACCCATTAACATCAAACAGTCTCTGTAACTCCAAATGCCAGGAACACATAATCTCCCTGGCTGATTTTCATAAGGAAAACCTGTCATTTACGGGAACTCAGGCTTCAGGGCTCATCCACAACCAAAAACCACTGAAGCTAGAACTAGCCTTTGTTTCACAGGTGGCAACATTGAAGCCCAAAGGTCTTCCCCCACCTTCAAGCCCACCCGCTTCCAGAATGATCACTCAAAGACATAAATCTGATCAGATCACTGGCCCTAATTAAAACAAAACAGAACAAATCGATGAATAAATGAAACTTTGTCTGTGTTCCAGACTGTACCACTATTACTTTTTCACACATGAAATGGTTTAAAACCCAGTCACAAAAACAGATAAAATTGGGGCTCCTCTAGACTGCTGGGGAGTGCTCAGCGAGAGGGGTTTGGGGTCCCATCCAGTAAGCAGAGCTGAATCCTTAGAGGCCCTAAGCACTAGAGATTAGGGTGCCCACCCCCTTCACATATATAATTCAAACTCAAAGCAATACTAAACCATAACACCAAAATGTACATGTTATAATGAAATTAAAGTCATTTTTTTCTTCTAACTGAAAAGATCTGAGAACATAACTTTTCCCAGTTATTTTTCTGGTGTCCCCACTTAGCACAGCCTGCTCACTTGGTACAGCACAGCTGTTCAGCTGCTCCTTGACCCCTTGGGCTCCTCAGAACACAGATTGAAAGTCACAAGCTGTGATGTTCTCCAAGGGCCCTTCAGGGCTCTAAGGCTGGCCATACACGTGGCCAGGAGTCAGAGGGCACAGGGAGCTCCCTCTCCCTGTTTCAACCCTCTCAGTCCTCCAGCGTATTCTCTGATGAGCTGCTCCCCCCCATGTAACAGAGGTTCCAGTAACTTCCACCTTTCCCCACTGTGAAAGAAAAGATATTTTCCCCCAAATGAGAACTACACAAACCATACGTTCAGCACCATTAATGGCATGCTAGAAAAATTGGCTTGAGAAAAAGCAGGACTCGCTGACTTCTGTTTGACCTCGTCTGGCATCTGGGTGACTGGCTCCTTGTGAGGGCATAAAACTGTTTCTTGGTACATCTAATGAATAACTATAGATCAATAAGCTTATTGTTTGCTTTGCAGATATATTACTTGTGATTTCTAATGAATACGTCAAGTTGGAATATGGTACAAGCCATTCATGTCACAAATATAACCTTATCATTGATAAAAATATAATGTTTTTATGACCACGGAAGGTAAACCAGCAGTCAGGCCTAAATTCTTGTTACTTCAAACTGGTATACTTTATCTATTTACCTCGTTAATAAATAATAAACTTTAACATATGTTCGATGTGTTTGTCTAAGAATCTATGTTAAAGTCACCCTGAGCTGACAAACAAAGGAGCCACTGGCTCCATCAGCCACTGACACCATCTAGGCCCTACACCACCTGCCCTGTGACCTGGAGACATCATGGCTCAACTTTAGACCATGAGTTTAAGCAATGGAAAAGTTAAGAATCCCAAAATGACTATTTTGTATCCATTAATAAGACTAAGTGTAAGGGCAAAAAAAGAAAAAATGGTAGTTCCTCCAAAGGAGGAAAACACTGTACCTTCTCCAAAAGTGGGAAATTCATCCCATCTATCAAGTAGTCTGTTTGGTCCAGTCTAGGAAGGAAAGCAGAGGTTCCCTGCTGCCTGCTTCAGAAACATCAAATTTTACTTTTGGGACCATTTTTCTTAAGTAACTGAAAGTTCTTTTACTAAAAAAAAAAAGAATCCTTCCAGTCAGTTCTATCATATGGCAAATTTTCTAGTGCCAACAAAAAAATATACATTTCATAAATTAAAATTTCCTACAAGTCAGGAGGTTTAGAATAACCAAATTCAAAGTGACTAATCTGTGCTATCTATCTACCTTTCAATTATGAGACTCACTCCCCAACAAATAACTTTCACCTCTCTGACAGAGCACTAATAGTTTTTGGTTGAGCACTCTCAGGACTAGTAACTCTGTCTAGGGTGTTCATTCATTCATTCACTCATTAAGTACTTGCTATATACAAGATACTCTCTTAGGAGTTACTATTATTTACTCAAAAGACATGACTCTTTTAATTCCAAGGAGCACAAAGAAGTTAAGTATCCCTCCCCTTAAACACAGAATCACACAAGCCAGCATGTGTTTAACAAATACCAACTGCTAAGGACTGTGCTAGGCCTTGTCCCATACATTAATTTATTTAAACTTCACAGTAATCCTGTGCAGGATATATTATTTTACAGATGTGGAAACTAAATCTGACAGAGGTTAACTGGCTTGTGATCATAAAATTAGTAAACGGGATTCAAACTCAGGTCTCCTGACCCTGTATTCACCACTACGTACAGCTACCTCCAAAGCACCCACATAGACCCAGGAGTATGAACAGGGAGATGCCAGATCCATAGCTCTCTTTTAAGCCCAGGTCAGACTATTACTGTTTTTGGTCAAAGGGCATTCTAGATTTAGAGAATTAAGAAAAGGTATGCACAGAAATAGAGCAAACAATCCTAAAATGTGTATGGAACCAACAAAAGATCCTGAGTTGCAAAGCAATCTGGAGAGAGAACAAAGCTGGAAGCATCATGCTCCCTGATTTCAAACTATATTACAAAGCCACAGTAATCACAAAAACATGGTATTGGCATAAAAACAAACAGATCAGAGAGCCCAGAACAGAATAGAGAGCCCAGAAATAAGACCACAAATATACGGTCAATTAATTTACTACAGAGGGGGCAAGAATACACAATGGGGAAAGGACAGTCTCTTTAACAAATGGCATTGAGAAAACTAGGCAGCCACATGCAAAAGAATGAAATTAGATTACTATCTTACAACATGCATAAAAATTAAACTGGATTAAACACCTGAAACCATAAAACTCCTAGAAGAAAACATAGACAGTAAACTCCTGTACATTTGTCTTGGGAAGGATCCTTCGGATCTGGCTCCAAAGGCAAGAGCATCAGAAGCAAAAATAAACAATAAAAAAAACTACATTAAACTAAAAAGCTTCTGCACAGCAAAGGAAACTATCAACAAAATAAAAAGGCAACCTACTGAATGGGAGAAAATATTTGCAAAGCAT